TAAGTTAGTTAATCAGTCAGAGTCAGAGAAGTACGACCCAGTTAGTAGTGCAGTTGTGCACCAGCGTGCTAGAGTACCTTCGGGCTCTCTTGCGGCAAAACATCGGCCAGTACGCAGTCAAAGAGAGGTTCGGGGTCAGTCAATATTAATTCAGTTCGGGAACGTAATTCAATCAGTTAAATTCAACCAAATCAGTTCGGGAACGTAATTCAATCAGTTAAATTCATTCATTCAGTTCGGGAAAGTAATCCAACCAGTTAAGCTAAGTAAAATCAGTTCGGGAAAGTAATTCATTTAATTAAATTAAAGTCAAAGCAGTAGTTCAATCGATCAATACAGTAAATTGTGTAATTGTCAATTAAGAGTCAAAAATTGTAAAAGCGAGAATAGATAAGCAGCGACATCCGAACCATTGTAAAAGTGTGAGAATAGATAAGCAGCGACATCCGAACCATTGTAAAAGTGTGAGAATAGATAAGCAGCGACATCCGAACATCTACATTTATATAAGTAAGCTAAATAAAACCTTTAAATAAATTGTAAAACATTGTGTATTTAATTCTTGCCATTCAGGAGTATCCGACGGACGTAAGAACTATAAAAAATAATACGGTACGTTCAGCCCTGTATTGGGGATGTAACAGTCCTTAAAAATACTTTTTCCACCATGGGTCTAAAACATCACGAGCGATTTCTAACGAAGACTTGAACCTGGAAACCAAAGAACCCACACTCTGTCAAGGAACACACTCGTGCCATCGTTTTCCAGTGCTCTTCACCGATTGTGCGTGATTGTATTGTTGCTCAGTCCCATAAGCTGGCAAGAATTTAACATAAGGATCTGTTTGATACTGGCGGTGAATCTCAGCTTTCTTTGGGTCCTTTATGGCCCAAAAGTGTATATCATCTGCTTCGTGAAGCAAAATCGCTATCTTTATGCGCAAATCACCTCAGTCGGAGTTTACACCAATACTCACTAATGAAGATCTGCATTCAGTGGCCTTGAAATTATAATTTCATTTACGTACCTAGCTGAGCTAAGCTGTCTCTTTCATGTATTTTTCTGCTTTCAATTGTTCTCTAATATCTCTCAATATTTGCAATTTGTTTTCATTTGGTCTCAAGCTTTCTTGTGTTAACTTTACTTGTAAATATTGTTACTGATTTAAATGTAAATATTACCACTATTGATTTGTAACTGACTCTTTATTACAATTTTGTATATAAGTTCTTATGGCCCACATGGGGTTCTCCACAGTCCGTATCAAATAAAAACGCAAACTCTCTTTTTCTCTCTCCTTTGCATAACTTTTAAGTTCTGCTTGGACTTAAAACTACGCCAAGCAAAAAAGGTAACTTACAGAACTTCTATCATAATGTACTATCTTGTAATGCTGAAGATTTCTCAAATGAAATAAATAAATTACAAATTTTTTTTCAAAACTCAGTACCTTTAAAATTTATCAAAATTTGCGAGATTACAACTTACCGTAAACAGGAGTTTTTCCTGGTAAAACTACGCAAACGAGTTGCAAAGCTTGGAAAGTTGATTTCAAATATCTGAACATAGGTTCAACTTGATCAGGACCGGTCGCATATTTACAAAAACATGGCTGGCCAAGGATCGGCATTCCGGCATCATTACTAATTTTTTGCAATTGAGAGGTAAAAGTACGCAAAGCATCTTCACGGCAAGTTCTTTGTGGAGCAAAGCAAGCAATTGCCCATACTCTTATTTCTACACCTGTGAAGAATTGTTTTCCTCTCATGTCCCACACTCCTTGATTAGGTAATGCTTGCTGTTTAGTCTTAAAATGAAAAAAATTATTGTTATTGTTTTTCACTTAAAATATAGTTAATTTATAGTGTTATTGAGTAATTCGAAAAATGTTGAATTTAAGGAAATAAATTATTCAATACGGTTTTTAAAAAATAGAAACAAAAAAAATAATTATAAGAGTAAATAAAGACTGAACTAGGTAATAAGTAAATATGATATTATTACAAACTTTGCATTAATAAAAGTTTTTTCTGCTGCTCTGAATGAAGTTTTTAATAAAAGAAAATCTATGTTTTTTAGATGCAATAATCTATTTCTATCTATGCAATAATAATTCATCATTATCAAAGAAAACGAATTAGGTCAATAGCAAGGATATTTATGTTAATAATGTTATTACAAAAATGTTAATACCTCTAGGATAAAAATTTTTCGAAGATTCCATTTAATTCCCATAAGACTTGGAATGATAAGTCAGTATGGTTGCGCATTGGACTAATTTAAATAATGAAAGGTACCGGAGACATGTTTTCTGATGTTAAAAGACTTAAAAAAACCATGTTAAATCAAAAACAAAAAATTTAATTTTCACATTTTATTTTCATGTTATTCAAATTACAAGATTTTACGCTGATGTCCCTTTAATTCTTAATAACGACTAATATCGAAGAGCACGTGTCGCGCTCCGTCTGGCAAGTATGACAGGAACTAAGTGATGACACGCCGCTACTCATATACAGCGCATAAATTTTATAATACATTTAGCATGCTTTGATTCTCAATTCCTTCTCTCACTCTAGCAACCTTGTACCGAAGTGACACAACTATATAGCTCATAAAATATGTTTCTTACATATGCATTACTTGTCATTACTTATTTATTTAAGGGGGCTGTACTGTGCTAAAAGCTTAAATTCAGTTTCAGCTAAAAATAGTTATATTAATCTGGGCTGTAGGCCCCTGCAGGGCCTTCTCAAAAAGGAATTATAGAGATAGAAAAAAAGAAAGAGAAATCTAAAGTGCCCCTTCAAAGTCTGAAATTATCCGATTTTACGTAATTTTGCGTATTTTTCCACTCATTGTAGCTCAGTCTCCATAGCATATTTTCGACCCAGAGAACATTAATTTTTTAATTTTAAATTAATTTTTAAATTAATTTTTTTTCCAAGTTATATGATATTTTAAATTTTTAAGTGAAAATCATTTTTTTATGCATTGTTTTAAAAAAAAACCATGAACAAATTATAATTATCATTTCGTACCTGACCACTAAGTGAACTAACTCTGCCACCATATTGTAATTTAGGTGGTGGCAGTATCCTTCCCCGTACTTCCATCATGTTGTTGGAGATGGTAAGACCAAATTCTTGAACGTATGAATCATTATTGAAATCTGCTCGTCTTACCAAATTATTAATTTCTCTTTCTCGATCAGGTGCTGAGCGAGCAGTAGCTTTGATCATCGTTGATGTCTGCATATCTGTCAGTTTTTTTATACATCTTTGCCCAGCGACTATGTTGCATACCTAAAAATATGTATTCAATTTTAACTGAAGATGAAGAAAAATTTTTGTAGGAAATTGAATTTATTCTAATGGCCCATGGCTTTCTTTAAATTAGCTTAGAAACAAAATGAGCTTTAGTACTATTAGTTTTACTAATTCCTAAAGTATATTTTTCTTATAACAATATTTCCTAAATTAATTTTCCTAGAATATTAAAAGAGGTTTATATCAATTGAATTTATTTCCGCATCCTCCTCTCTACACACCTGACATTGAATATTATCAATCTAACATTATTTACTTTTATGGAAATATAAAGTAGACGATTCTGATTTTTGAATGTAAATTTTTATACTTTCCCAGTTGAAAAAAATTGCATGGATATCCGCGTTGATTACCCACGTGGATTAGCTATCCACAAGGATTAGACATGGATACCACGCAGATCTGACAACGATTTCGCGAGGTTTTGTCGGTGAATTGTTGTGGATTTTAACTTCTCCACGTTGATAATTGATTAATCCACGAGGATTTTTCGAGAAATCTTCGAGGATCTTTCTACATCCACGAGGATTTTTCGAGAAATCTTCGAGGATCTTTCTACATCCACGAGGATTTCAGCGAAAATCGTCGTGGGTTGATCAAAAATCTGCGTAGATTTCTGGTCAATCCACGAAGGATTTCGTGGAAATCCACGTTGATTGTTTAAAAATCATCGCGGAGGTTCAAAAGTCTACAAGGATTTTAGCAAAAATCGTCGTGGGTTGATCGAAAATATGCGTAGGTATTATGTCAATCCACGCGACTTAGCTACGTAGACAGTTTATTTAATCCACGTGGTATCCATGTCCGATCCACGTGGTATCAATGCCTGATCCTCGAGGTATCTATGTAAGATGCACCTGGAATCGGTGTGATTATCAACGCGGATATCCATGCAATTTTTTTCAACTGGGTTTGTAGTGAGCGTGTATATGTTTGAAAATTTTATGTTTTATTTTGTTTTAGAAAAAAGATTAAGAAAAAAATATTTAAGAAAAAATCAATTGATAAAAAATTATTTTATAAATACAATTAATTATGAGAAATGATTTCGAAAAAATGTACAATCAAAAAAACTATCATCAATGAAACAATGTTGCGCGGGTTCATTGCCTGATAAAGTCTAACTCAGTCTCAAAGTGGTTTGAACCCTATTATAAATATATGATTCGACAGCCATCGGAATTAATTTAATCATATACCACATAATTGAAGACAGGCATTTCTTCTTGCGCTGCTGTGTTGTTTATACTATTTTCCGGACTGGTCTGCCTCTCCCGTTGTATGATAACCCGCCCAATACCCAAAGACCCTAATTTTGACTCATTTTTCCAGGCATTATTTTTTTATGAAATCATTGTTATATTAATTTTAAAATACCATATCTTATGGTATTAAACGGGTTAAAATGTCTCCTACCGTCGAGCTGCGTAGCTCAACAAGACTGAATATTGGTGCTAGCTAGAATCCACTTCCCGAATAGTGATACTTCGGCATATGCTGCTGCATTTTTTCAGGATGTAGCACGATGTTGGAATACTCTCTCTTACAGCGCACAATATGCCTCTTTTTTGGCACGTTTCAGGACCTTAGTACTGGACGAGTTGCGCAGTCGTGCTCGTTAACAACAATGTATGGCGAAAAACATGCAAAAAAGGTAAAAAATAGGCCCAAAATGCCTAAAATCACCAAAAACAGCCATTTTCAGTCCTTTTTTGCACGTTTTTCGCCACACATTGTTTTCTACATTGCATTAAACTTTAAGACCCATTACAAAACTTTATCAGGCATTAGTTGACATCTTTGGGAAGCTTTTTACATAGTTTAGGAAATGAAAGTCCGGTTCGAACTCGATTAGATTTCATCATTTATGTTCCTTTGGAAGTTTTTTTGCTTTACACTTACCTAGATTGTTCCAATCACTTTGGCATATTTTTTTTCTGAAAATTTGGACAATTTCCAACAAAAAAGTTGCTGGGCACTTTTACTTTTGAATCATTCTACCCTGGTCCAGGAATTATTTGAATATTTGTGATTTTTCATGAATTTCAAAAAGCCCTAAAATGGCCAACTTCGGGCCTCTGAAAAAGAGTGATAGATGGTCCCAAAAATTCTAATAAAATTTGGGGACATTTCTGACATCGGGAACAGCAAGTTTTTCATATTTGCAGAAAAAAAAATTTTTTTTCCATTCGATTTCACAGAGAATCGGCCATATATTTGTTTTATTCGTTCCTTACAATTTTTTTTCTTGTTACATTTGTTTTTAATTTTATCATGTGCTTATTCTTGTGTGATCACCGATGTTTAATTCTACCTTGTAATCACTGTTATTTCTGCTCTTCATTTTTATTTTTTGTTAATACTATTGTTAATTTTTTGTAAAATTTAAAAGTTTACGTAAACTGAATTATATGATGTATTTGTCATTGAGGTATAGAACGCGCCTTGTCTTATAAACTCGATTCTAATGTAATGAAAAAATTACTCATTACATTAAACACTCAATTGAGCAATCTAAGATAGTTATTCATCTATAAAACTCGATTCTATTTTATTCTATTCTTTCAACTCAACTCTCTGAGTATAGCAACACGCACTTTTTTCTGCTCCTCTGGTTTTTTGTTTTTGTACTGCCTCGACCTGCCTACGGGCGTTTTTCCTGCAGTTTCTTGCACGCTAATTTTGCAAGGGTTAACTACAACTAGACCACTGGTATTGTTGTTACCCTTGAATTGATTAAAACGCATCTTCATCATCTATCCCAAGGTTCATCAAGGTTAGCTTACCATAACGTGCATTCGTGGTCCTGTGCATGCAACGATCTCATTTTGCGTGTCGCTTGCTCGACGAATCAACGTCAAGGGTGAATGAAGAGCCAAATTTTTCTTTGACGAGTGCTTTTGCTAAGTGTTTCGAAGTGCGTGTTAAGTTCTTTTATGATGTGTGTGTCATGTTACGTAATCGCCGCTTTTAAACTTATTGCCGTGTGTCGTGACTCGTGAGTGCTGTTTTAATCGGACTCAGATTTGGACTCTGTTATCATCGATCATTTTGTCATTTTTCTAAATTCAGTACCTTCTTTATAATTTTGTTCTTTCTTCTTGACTCTGTTTTCTTTTTCTGATAATATTCATAGTTAAAATCTGTACTTCATCTGACCAATCTAAAGCTCCATCTTGGTTTCTGGAATTCTTTTTTCTAATTTTTCTAAGCAGCTCACTGATGAAAATAATGTTCCATTCAGTCAATTGACTGAAATAAGCTTGAAACTAGAAAATGTAGTTTCAACAGTGAACTCGTTGTTTAAACATGTGACTGTCGAGAAAGTTTCCGCCCAAAGTGCAGGGGTGATATTTGACATCCAAAGCAAGGTTGAAGTAGTCAAAAGCTCTATAAAATTACTTGATATCTCGCAGATACTCATGGTTATATTATTGTTTATTCCTATAACAACAAAACGTTCATAAACACGACGCTAGGGGGCGAGCTTGCGAAAACCTTGGCACCCGATTTTGAATTATATCTGAAAAAAGTAAAATAAGCAAGTTGAATAACGATAAACATATTCCGGATTTGTACTAAACTTGAATTTTATTTATTGAAAAGCAAGCAAGTCGCCCTGGTAGAGATTCTTTTTCTCTACTAATCAACAGATGGTTTTACCAATCAGCAGAAGGTAGCAATCAAAAGCACTTCTTATTGAGGGTAGTATTTCTTTCTTCTTCAATGCCTAAAACCGCTGTATAGAAAAAATGAAGAAGGATTCAACAGCGCCAATCTCGAGCACGGAAAAGGACACATACGAAGACACAGGAGTGAGTGATCTTTGTCTCCGCCAACGACAAGTCTTGGATTTTAATTGCATTTGGAATACGACCCCGAGTTCCCTTTCTTCTAGTTAGAAGAAACACCGCAAACTGTTACGTGTGATTATTATCGTTAGATTTTATTATAGTTCTAAAAAGCAGGCTATGGTTTTCCACAAAGATACGTGAATTGATGGCACAGCGCGATCGGACCTACCAACGTGCATGTAATTCTGAAAGTGTTCATTACAATCTATGGCCAACTGCGAAGTCGTATGAAGCGCCTTATAGATGACAGTAGAGAAAAATACATTGTCCATAAACTATAAACAGCAGAAGATTCTGAACAAAAGTGGACTTTTTTGTGTAAGCTGGGCCTGACATTGAATCATCACTTCACTTCCATCTCATCGACATCCCCTGCTTTAACAAAAGGCTCAATACAATTGGTCTTACAGACACCACTGAACACTGCTAAATCTACATTTAAACTGTGCATTGCTACTCATATTCTGCGGGTCATTGCAGGCTCCAGGTCCAAGGCTATCGGACGTGACCACTTGTCCTCCGGCATGCATAAGAGATTTGTTAGGAATCTTTAATTAGTATGTCAATGCCGTTTTAGCCTGGGTCACAGCAAACGGCCTCTCGCTGAACAAGGCTAAGACACAGGTGATTGTGATGAGCAGTGATGCTTTTCTGAAGCACTTCGACCTCTCAACCTCACGCCGGGTGCTTTTCGATGGCTTGCCCCTGCCATATGCGACCGTGGTAAAGTCACTGGGCGTGTGGATTCAGCCAAACCTTGTTTCGGGGGCACAGGTCAAATAGGTGGTGAAGCGCGTCCATCGTGTGCTCTATTCGCTTCGACATCACCGCAAAGCATTGTCACAACCTATACGTAAGGAGCTCGTAGAATCATTAATTTTCCCGCATTGTGATTATGTGTCCGAAGTCTACAATGACCTATTCCAATATCAAGAACTCAAGCTCCAAAGAGCCTTAAATGCCTGCGCAAGATATGTCGTGGATCGCATATGATAGATGGACCATGGCACCCCTCACCACTTAGCCCTTGGATGGCTGTCTACTTCCAGACGAAGACAGTACTTCACCGCTTCAATTGCATCCACCGCCATCTCATTCAATAATCATTCACATCTGTTACCTAAATTTACCATGTCACCTACCGGTGCTTCAGTTTTACCAGTCTTGCATGCCAAATATGGCAAGGTTTCAGGTTCACAAATTGCTTTGCTGAATCTTAAACCCTGCAAATAATACTCAATCATCTCTCAAACGAGCTTGAATTTGAAAGTAAATTTTCTGAATCATCGATACAGTCAAAATTGAAAAAAGTTCCCAATGCGCAGTCACTAGAGATTTGCAAGTTCTACTTAAGTCTTAATTGTCCTGTTTACGTGTCAAGTTGTTACCTTCTGCTAGTATTTGAATTTATAATCATACAAGTTCATGACCATATCTCAATTAGGATCAGCATGCCCTTCAATAACTTTTCAAGCTAAAACTGAACATACATCATTGATCAGATGTTCACATTCATGGATGGCATAATGACCAGAATTTAATATCAAGTACTATAAATTAAAGAGCTTGACCGTTGAGCTTCTAAGCAAAAAGATACTGGCAAAACACCAACTCAATCTACATTACCACTAAAAGAAGTAATATAAAATATAAAAATCGCTGCAACTCAATGCTCTAAGACTATAGGCATCATGCCAAACATAATTTCCCCTTATTCGCATATAGGCTACAGCTATTCAACGACCAAATCCTTAAAAAAACCTCCTTTACCATGGGCCTGGAACATAACGAGCGATCTGTGACGAGGACTTGTAGATAGAAACCAAGCGACCTTTGCTCCGTCAAAAAACACACTCGTGTTATCGTCTTTCAGCGCTCTTCACCGAATGTTTGTGATGGACTCCTCGATTAATATTATAAGCTTTCAAAAATCGATAATTCAAAGCTTTCATTAAGTCCTTTATGGCCCCACAGAGCATATAATTGGCTTCGTGAAGCAAAATTGCTATCTCCATTTACTACGATTTTTACTACGATTGTATAAAGGGTCACAAAAGTATGGGAATCTCCTAAATGTGAACATATATTGCGGGGAAAAAAATCAAAAACCCCATTTCCAATGGTAACATTGAATTTGACCTTGAACGTAACCTTGAAGCTACAGCGACCTAAAAATCGATTTTTCAAATGGAACCCCTATTTTTTTTATTTCAGATTCAAAAAGAACGGAAAATCTTACTTTGAAATATGTAGTATGTTTTTTTTCAAGGTAATTTTAAAGGCACTACAGACTGAAAAAAAAACCGATTAAACCTAAAATTAAGCTCAAGTAAGGGGCTTATTTTCTAACTGTAACACCCCAAAATTGACTTTGGGAAAAAACAAAAAGACCTATTCCAACTGTACATTTCCCGTTCTTTTAACGGTGACGTTAAATTTGACCTTAAGCATAACCTCAAAGCTACAGCGTACCAAAAATTGATTTTTGACTGGGTAACCCCCACTTTTTATTAAAGATTTGAAAAGAGCGAAAAATTTCATGCCTCTTTGTTTTTTTCCATGGTCGATTTTGGAGAGCTACAGTTAGAAAAAAAATCTTTTACTCGAGCTTAATTTTAGGTTAAATCGGGATTTTATTTGAGTCTTTAGTGCCTTTAAAATAACCTTGAAAAAAAAACATAATACATATTTCAACTCTCTTGCTCATTTAAAATTCGAAATAAAAAATGATAGGTTTCTTTTGAAAAATCAATTTTTGGGTCGCTGTAGCATTGAGGTTATGTTTAAAGTCAAATCCAAGGTCACCATAGCATTCCCCGTCAAAAAATATGGTAGACATGGGGTTTTTGTTTTTTTTAACACTTATTGTGCGAGATTTCTAGAGGTTTCCATACTTTTGTGACACCCTGTATAATATATTTATAATAGATTTAATTAAATAAATCAGTGCGCTCAGGATCCTTGGATTTTCCTGATCTTTATTCATATTTCGGATCATTTCAAAAGGGGCTAAAAGCTGAGTTCACAGATTTTAAAACGAAAACGTACTCCCAGAATCCACACAAACGTTCAGTTTATATCAGGATCAATTCGAACAGTAATTTTGGTAAGGCCTGGAAAAATTCATGAAGACACATTTCAACAATGCAAACTATCTGGAATTTTTTCAGACTTTTTAAACCATGACAGCCTTCTAGAAAAATTATTGAAATTTTTATCATGTTCTAATCTAATATACGTTTAATGCTTATAGTTTATTTTGTAGGTGTAGAATTTTCAGATAGAAACTCTTTTAGCAGATTATGAAAGTTTTTAACTTGATTAATATTTCATAATATTATTTAATATTTTTTTCTATTTTTATTAATAATTTTAAGGTACGTAATTCTTACCTCAAGAGGTAAATATGTATGTTTATGCTCTTGACCAACTTGCAAGCATGGTAAATGTGGATATCTAAGTTTCATTTTATATTTATCTAAGAAATATTTAGACACCGTACACTCAACAGTTTGTCCATTTTCTAATTGAAGCGGAAACCTGCAAGTAAATTAATTTAATTTTTTTTTAATTAAATTCCCTTATACTTTTCTATAAAATTGTTGTATTTATTTGTTTTGTTAAAAAAGTCTTTTGGTATTCAATATTAATATACTAGTCTATAAACGTAGCAACTGTTTTTAATTCATTCGTGAGAAGTTTAATTATAGAGAAATTACATTGATTTCGGAGAAGATAAAATTTTTTATTTAAAAAAAAATTATATTTAAAAACGAAAAGTTTGATTCATATGAAATTCATATAAAGTAAAGTTTACGATTTGGAGAAGGTATAAAATATTACACCTTCTTCAAATCTTGGACTTGATTCACGAGCCGGCTTGAAGTATCAGCGAGTCTCTGTCGGTGAATGAACGATTATTGCAACTTTTCCACGTTGATAATTGACTGATTCACGGTGATGTTTGAGAAATCTTTGTGAATCTTTCTATATTCACAAGGAGTCTATCGAAAATCCTCGTGAATGTAGAAAGATCCACAATGATTTCTCGAATAATCATTGTGGATTAATCAATTATCAACGTGGAGAAATTAAAACCAACGATAATTCACCGATAAAGAGTCGTGGATACTTCGAGCAGGCTCGCGAAGTCTAAGATCCCTGAAGAGCTGGAGAACCACCAACTTAGAATTTTTTTTCAATCCATGTATGACCCACGTGGTATCTATGTTTGATCCGCGCGGAATCGTTATCCGATCTACATGGTATCCACGTCTAATCCTCGTGGATGGCTAATCCACGTGGATAATCCACATTGATATCCATGCAATTTTTTCCAACTGAGGAGGGTGCTAGGGCCGTCTTCAAAATGAGCTACTTGAGTCACGAGTATCGTATATTGCTTCCTCATAGATAAAGCTCTGTGATAGGCTCGAAAACGAGATTTTGAACCAGACCTCGTAGGACAATTTGGTTTACATATTTGCAAACTAGATTGAATTCTCAACAAATGTCCGTATGTATGGATGTGTGTGTGTGTGTTTTTTTTTTTTTTTTACGTGGGCAGAGTGAACTCTGCAGCCAGTGGCCCTTCGAAACGAGTACCCCACTGGAAACCGTCGTTAAACATTACTTCGGTGGGGACTCTATAGAGCTTCTCTGCTATATCTGTGTCTTTTCCGTACATCCCCCGTCCACCTTACGGTGATTAGGGGTTCGGGAACCAGAAGCGTCGTTTTCGTCTTTTTCCTACAGCATCGTCCGGATTGTTTTTACACGTCTTGCGCCTCTTGTCTCAGTCTAGTGACGACTGATTGCGCAAAAAACGCTACCACCAGCCAACTGCCTGCGGTCTCGAGCATGAGCCAGACGATATTTTCGACGATTTCTTCTTGGAGGACTTGTTGAAGTCTCTCCCTCTCTTCGTGGAATCGCGGGCAGCGAAAGAACACATGCTCCGCGTCTTCTATCGTGCTTGCGCAGGCTGGGCAGAGAGCGCTAAGGGTGTTATCATAACGCTGGCTACAGCTTTTGAAGTAGCCATGCCCGGACAGGAGTTGCGTGAGATAGTAGCCCACTTCTCCATGTCCCCTCTCTACCCATTCTGCGATGTTCGGAATTAGCCGGTATATCCATCGGCCTTTTGGGGCCCGGTCACACCGGTCCTGCTACCTTCTCAGCGTCTCTCTTCTTTCTTCTTCCTTGACGTCCTCCGGGCGGCGCTGATATGGGCAATTCCGCCGACTCGTTAATATTCGTTATACTGCACGATAACGTACCAATGTCTCAAAAAATTTTTACTTCTCGCTACGTGATTATTTTAAAGGTAACATTTCCCAACTTTTACAAAGATTAAAAATGCTATTTAAACCCTCCCTCACCAAGAAAATTCTTAATTTCATGTCTTAAACACTGTTTTCAGAATTCAAAAGATCGTTTTATGTATATTCTAATGTTCGTCGTTCGAAACAACCATAAATTTTTTGCGTCCAAATTTATTTAGAGTAAATTTCAGGGCCTGTACTTTTAAAAAATCTGCACCTGAGTGGTGTGCTTCGTCATGTTGCCATATGACACATGAACGAAACTGTCAAAACTAATTTCACAATTACCAAAGGCCTTATATAAATGTATTTACTAGGCAAAACACCCTATCAAATATCTCCAACATAGAACCATAGAAAGATAGCTTTTGAGCCGTAGAATCCGATAGTATGTCGCAAAAAGGTGTGTCATTGTTATAATTGAAGTTATTTACAATATTGTTGTCAATTTCGAATTCTCCCACGGGTGAGTAAAAGTACATATTTATCTGGCACACCGTATCTATAATTTCAAATGAGATAATTGTTGTTGCCCATTTTAGAAAAAAGTATACAAAATACTTTGAGTCATGGGTATTTTTAAACATCGCCATAAAAAATATCTTAGACAACCACAAACAATATTTTATGTTCATTGCCGTTCATTCACTTTTAGCGTGCTTGAACGAAAAATGAGTAAACTTCAAATTGACGTAGCTTAATCAATAAAAGTCAGATTGAGATTTTAAAAAGGCCATCAAAAAGTTCTTTATAAGTAGTTTATAGCTATATAAATTGTTAATTTATTTATTTATTTATTTATTTTCTGATTGTTATCAACAATTAACGAATCGGAAAAATCGGCTTTTCTCGTCTTCGCTATTTCTAGTTTAGTTATAAGACTTAGAAACATTCTAAGACGATAAATTTTTGTGTTGTGTTACCATTATTATGAGTGTTTTGTGTAGCTAGCTATACAATGTATAATGTCTTCTAACACAAACAAAGGTTTTATTTACGTACTTTACGCAGGGCGCCAATTAATTATTATAATAAATCTAACTCAATCACTCGACATCCTGTTTTCGTGAAGAAAGTATCAAATTTGACATCGAAAATGGGTAAGTGAATATATTTTTGCAAAAGTTTATTCACAGTTAGATCAAAATGAAATGAATAGTAAATAAATAAAAGAATTTTTTCAATTGTGAATTATAGATCCGCAGATTTCCAAAAAAATTAAAAAAAAATTGAAATGGGCGAGAACAGGCAAAAAGAAAAAAAAACGCGCTCAATTTAATCAACGATTGAACTCTTTACCTAAAAGAGTTAGAAAACAGGAACCTTTGTCATCAGAAAGAACTCTTTGTCATCAAAATCTAGTCCACTTGGAAAATGATCAACTTGCATCATCGATTGAAGGTTCAAGGCGCAAGCTTCGTCCAAGAAAAAATCTTGATGTCTACGTCCTTGAAAGACGACATAAATCAAAATTTACTAAAATATTATCAGGTAACTCTGATTTATTTACACAAACCTCTGATACTATACCTCATATGGTGTACGAAGATTTGAGACCCAACTCTCCGCTTAGTTCAGTACATGAGGTTGATCAACAAAATTATGAAAATTCTTGTGTTTCTCCAGAAATTTCAACTTGTATTGATAATAATAGTAATTATTACCCTAATTTTTAGAGTCGCTTCGTAGAAAATTTTAAAAGAGCGCGATGTAGAGAGCGCAAACTGCGACGATTATTACAAAATTCTCGTAATCAAATTCAGTATGAAAAAAAATTAACAATGAAATGGAGACAAAAGTATCATTACATTTTGAATCGTAATAAACCGACTGATGAAATGAAATAAAAGGCGAAAAAAATAAAAAGTAATGGAAAATCTGAAGTACGTAAGCGTTTATTATATTGTGAAGTATTAATTAAAGTTAAATTGTGTTTCCTTTTGCACTGTTTCTGAATGCTTGAGGCATGACGCTGTCACCGTATGGGCTCATTTACAACCAATTTTCAATTTGATTAAGAACAAAGTACCAAGCTTTACGACCATTCATTTTCAATCTGATGGACCAACGACCCAATATAAAAATAAAACCAATTTTCAATTGTTTCATCATTTTTTGAAAAAACTCAAATTAAAAAATGGTTCGTGGAATTTCACCACTCCTAGTCATGGGAAGAGTGAAGCTGATGGGACCGGCAGTACAATGAAAAGGTTGTGTAACCAATATGTTTTATCAGGCAATGATGTTAATTGCGTAAAAGATGTTGTCAGAGCAGTAACGAAATCACCTAATTATAAAATTAAGATTTTTCCTATCGACATCGAAGATAGCGAAAAATTTGACGGAATCATTGACGCAAAAATACAATCAGCACCTAACTCGCAGAAAATCTTCCAAATATTATGGTATATTGAAAATGCAAATTTATTATTTTTAAATTCTCTGTCGTTTCATCAATGTTTAGATAATCCTCCATGTAAGCAGTTTTTATTATGTAATCAAGGCTAGTCTCCGAGTACTGATAAAAGAGTGAGAGCTGTCAAAAGACAGCTATTAAGTATTTTAGAAAAAGAAAAATTTATATCTTCCAAAAAAACGAAGAATTTAAATTTATCAATCTCAAATCAAAATCATCTCTCAAATTTATCAATCAATTTAGCAATCTCAAAAAATAAAGAAGTTTGTCTGTTGTCAGTCATTGAAATTTAATTTAAAAAATTCTATAGTACGCAGACGTTAAATGAGAAAAAAGAAAAATAAATAATATATTTGAGTTATAAATTTGTTTATATAAAACATTATTAACATTACTTTATTTAATGAAGGTATAAGCAAAACAAAGCATATGTATAAAGAACCAAACTTGATAAAGTGTCATGTTATAATTTTTGTGAAAAATTTAAATAAACCTTGTTTTTCGTAATCACCCTTTGTCTAATTTCATAGGCACTATTTTTTCCTGATTTCGAACTTCATTATGCATCTATACAGGTAGGTAAAAACGATGTGCTGCAAAAATAAAAAAAAATTTTTTTCGAGGGGCAAATGTGAACTAGTCGGCGGAATTGATGCGCGCTCGCTCGTCCGCTAGTAGGGCCAGCGGTGGTACGCCGGCTATCACGTACGTCACGTCGTAGGAGAAGTGTAGTCGCCCACTGATCCCGCGCAGGCAGGCTCGTCAATGTACGGCCTCCGCTTGACGGATGTAGGCCTGCGTCTTCGTCGCACATCTCCAGATGGGCACTCCATACAGGAGGATCGAATCGACGACGTGAGCATAGAGTTCTCGTCGGCTACTTCTGGACCCACCTGGTTGGTCGAACCTCAGCCTGGAGTCAATGTGTAGGCCCAGGTAGCGAATGTAGGGGGACGACCTTATTTTCTTCCTGCTAGTGACCAGTAGGGCCTCGGTCTTATGGTCAGCCGTTACAAGGCTGAGCTCATGAAGCGTGCCTCGCACCTGCTTGATGGCAGCGTTCAGATCGTACTCGATCTGCAACAGGTGCTTAGCAACGACCACCAAGGCGATGTCGTCCGCGAAGCCTACGATCCTTACGTTGCCTCTGAAGTTGAGGTGCAGAACGGCCTCGTATATGATGTTCCACAGTATGGGCCCTAAGACAGATCCTTGCGGAACGACTGCTGTGACTCTGTAGGACCCCGGTCCGTCGTCCGTGTCGTAGTCGAGCAATCTCGCTGAGAGATAGCTGCTGAGTATTTTCAGCAGGTACTCGGGCGTGCGCATTCGGCGTAGCGTCGCGTGGATGTTGTTCCACCGAGCCGAATTAAATGCGTTCTTCACGTCGAGGGTCACGACGGCGTAGTATTTCTTGGTGCCGCGATTCCATCTCTTGCCCACAATAGCCTCTCGGGCTGTAGGGATGACGTTCTTGATGGCGTTCATCGTCGATCGCCGCTTTCGAAAGCCGTACTGGTGGTCTGAGAGGCCCCCGGGGCTCTCAGTAATGGCTTCGAAGCGGTCACAGATGATTCTTTCCAGGATCTTGCCGGCTGTGTCAAGCATACAGAGCGGCTTGTACGACGATGGTTCTTGGGGGAGCTTGCCTGGCTTTAGCAGCAGGACTAGCTTTTGTCGTTTTCAGCACGTGGGAAAGACACCGATCCGCAGGCATGCCGTGTACACCTACAAGAGAGAGAGAGAGATTTTCGGGGCTCGCGCCTATGATTGAAAGGCCGCGAGCTGAGACTGTTACGAGCTGTTATACCGCTTACTACATTGATAGGCATACTCTGGCCTTATTAATTAATTGTAAAGTCACGATTGCATATTCGAGTCAAAGTCGAGTCACGGTTTTTGTGCAAGTGCCTTACGACACGAGGGTGCCAAGCGAGCCATCCCGAGAGGCCGACTGCCAATTGTAAGTACCTGTTCGACTTAAAAAGTAATCTCTCTCTTCGCACACTGAGCGGAGCAACGGCTCGCCGAGATCATAGTCGTGCGCGCGTATTCTATCTTTGGCATAAGCCAACTTAATCTATTGCTTTATTTATTCACACAGGCCATTGCCTGATTCAATTCTAATTATTTTGTGTGTCCTTAGCTTTAATATTAAATAAATCGATTTATTGTAAAATAACAAGCACGACTATTCCCTCAGCTGAACCCAATCTGCTCCTACGTCCCACGGATCCTACGGATCAACTTCCCGTTATATTGTCTACAAATAAAGATCATATTTATTGCGATTATAGAAAAAAAGTAATTTATAAATAAATAAATGTTTTATGCTAAATGTGCCCAACTTTTTGGGTAATGAATTTTTCGGATATTTTTTTTATTAATTATTTTTGCGACAAAAACTATTTATTACTCTAACTTAAAATGCGCAATTTGGCCGCTAATTTTAGGCTCTCGTAGAAAAAAAAAGTATTATAAACTAGTGCAAATATGGTTTTTTTAACAAAACTCATTACGGCACTCGCCTTCGGCTCGTACTATAATCTTTCGCTTTAAAACTATATCTGCACCTGTTGCGAAATATATTATTGTTCACCATAATAAACAGATATTTCATTGAATCAGAAAAGTACTTACGACTGCATTTGAGCTGGTTTTCGAGTAACGTTACAAACACGATACTTTCTTCTCATAGTTCCACAATGGGTAATCTCAATTTTTAAGCCCTTTATTTCTTTTGTGAACTTAACTCTTTGAGAATCTGTGAGAGGTTTTTTCTGTTCATTTATATCTCGGATATCTAAGACTTCGCACATAAATTCTATAACTGGTTGAGCTTTATAAAAAGCAGTAGCAGAAACTGTCAGAAAAATAAAACAAATAATTTTTTATTTGAATTTGTAACTCACAAACAACATTATATTTTAGTGATCATTAAAGTTTAGCTGTTACTCTAAAATGTTATTAATTTGTCTAAATTAATTGTCATTATTATTATTTGTCATCTTCTGAAGTTATCCAGTTTTCTGCAACGGCGTTGAAGACAGCCGTATTATTTGCAACTTTTATAGTACGGATTACGCATGAACCATGACGCAGTCATTACCGTGACTTTCACAGCTAGACGCAATGGGTATTCCACAAACGCAGGCTTAACCAACCTGTCCGACAAATGATAATACTTTTGATAATGTTTATTTATGCTCTTTTTTATTGCCAATTAAAATACGCCAAGGGTTGACACTGTTTCTGTATCAAGATCCGGATACTACTCATCACTGTACAAAGTTTTCCGACAAATATGATATTTAGTCTACAATTATTCAGGTCATGAAGCCTCTATACGACTTTATAGCCTACCCACGAAGACTGTGTGGCTACTCTGCGTTGTCACTGATTACGAACTTTTAGTTTCTCACACCAACTTACCCACTTTCACCCAATGACCAAGGCAAATGCCACAATACCACTTTAAGCATGCTAGAGTGCTCGTGCAGCAAGCGACGTAGCATGTTGTGGTACGCCTTTTTGCTAAATGGTTGAGTATTTCAGGAGGAATTGATGAATACAGGTTTATTATACGTTTTTTGGTACGAGGAATTTAAATTGACAATTATTTATTATCTGAAAACCCAGAGATAAGGTAAAAATCGAAAGTAAAATAGTTTTTCGCTCATATCTTGCGAGCGAGATATGGAAAAAATAATGACTCCAATCGACTCCCCATATCCCAAAAATCTCTCAACCTTTGAAGCGTCAGTACGAAATTGTTCACTATAATCAAAAATTAGTTTACAGCAGTTCACGGCAGTGGTAGTCAGACGCACAGCTTTTTATTTCCAGAAAATGGAGTGAAAAAACCAAGACAAGAAACAAAACCAAGAAACTTACGTTTCAGATTCAGATTTAAAAAAATAATCTAGCAAGATAGCTTCAATTCCTTACGATAGAATTTGTATGAAATTAAAAAATTTGCTGTAGCGAAGTCGCTTCGGCTACCTGCGTTTGCAGGCTCAAATAATCAAAAATTTTGCTGGAGCTGGGTCGCTTGGGTTACTTCTAATTACATATCCTAAGATTTAAAAAATTATAAAATCTGAGTCGCCTTCAACTACCTACGTTTACAGGCTCAAATAATCAAAAAATTTGCTCGAGCTGGATCACTTAGGTTACTCTTTACTGCATACGCAAAGATCAAAAAAATGTTTTTGGTTGCAACGTCACTCAAAACTAATAATTTTTAGTTTTATATTGGCTGATCATAATAAAATCATTAAGTCCAGCTGATTCCTAATGATAATTCAAAATAATCTGTCCGAGCCACGAGCCAACTTCTTATGGAACACTTTGAAGCCCGAAGCCAACTCCAGTTGGCGCAATCGGAGGTAATCCGATCCTTTCCAAGACTACAAATACACCCATTTACATACACATACACACATTAACATACACAAAAAATATGTAGAAAATAATAATAAAAAAATTAAAATTTCAGAGATAAATAGCCACCAGAATGAATTATCGAAATTAAATTGTGGGGGTTGAGTTGTCGCAAGATTAGTTGTAAAAGATTATTAATCCGCCGTCCTAAAGACGGATTTCGAAAAATTGCATAAAAAGTGTATAAGAATGCACTTTTTGCATGAAAAAAATTAATCAGAAAACGTGTCCAGTCCCAAAGAATATACCCCTAAAATTTCAAATCGATTGTATAAAAAGATTTCAAGTTATCGTATGACCGCGAACACACGAAAATTAGGTGAACTGGCCATGATGCGACTTCGTTGCACTCAGCTTAATTATTTTTCAAATGTCTTCGAACTAATAGGTCTTTCTCAAACAGTAATTTTATGATTCAAATTTCGGCAAAAACGAAAAATAAAAAAAATGTATTCTTAACTGTACTTGCAAAGCACTCTGCGTTTTCGATCACTTTTAAGCTTGTGTTTGTGTCACATTACGCGAATATGTTTACACAAAAATAATAAAAGGTAAATTAAGTATTCCCGCGTAATGTAACGATTGATTGTAGCACACATGTTCGGGAGATATTTATATTGCTACGTTCCAAATATTCCATTAGACTGCAATAAAACTCTGATTTTAGGAATATAAAAAAATGTGTGAGAAATACTAGGCATAGTGATTGTTCTGTAACATCAGTCTGATAGCAAAGAAACTTGAGTCCGCGCCACGAACTTAGTCTAAAGACCAAGAGCATAACATTCATTTACGCTGAAATAAAAATCAACTAAGTAAATATATTAATGGAGATGAGGCCATGTGGCCAGCTGATTAAATGAGCTGATCATATGGAACGTTCGTAAATTCTAATAAAGATCTCCTTTTTATCTTTCTCATGCACATTGACCAGAATACTCGGTAATAAACGACGCTGTCGCGCAACACAAGTTTACGAACACACATTGTCTGTTACGATCCATATGCAGTCTGAGGGGTCACGTGATCGGAATTTATCTCATTTCTTTTGATAAGTTTAGAATTGGAAAGGACAGGGCGAGAAGTTAGATGGTGAAAGAAAATGAACCTTAGTGACGTAAATAGGCTGCGCTCCCGTGGAATCGGCCTTGTTACCCAGAGTCAGCCGACCCGTACAGAGCTCGTGCAAGAGTCGAATATCTCAGTCTTACAAAAAAATCAAAGTCAAAGTTCAAAAAGTTATTGGGAAGTACTAGAATCATTTTTAAAAGTTAAAGTGTGAATAATTTTTGAGAAGTAAATTCATTGCTATATACGCGAGGCGTTCAAGTGATTCCAACTCCTCCGAAGATCATTTTGATTCTCCATCGTCCGGGGCAGCGTACGAGAGGGACATCACCGAGTTAAGAGGAAGCCAGTCTTTTGTGTGTGTGTGTGTGTGTGTTATAAAATCGAGATGAATAAATTAATGTAAGTCATTTAAAAAAGTATATAATTTGTCAACGTCTTATTATTTCAATTGAACTCCTAACCATTTCTGTGATAAAGAATTAAATATATAAACTACGTAATATCTGTTAATTCGGATGTTACATTTGTAAGCATTGAAATTCTGTAGAAGTGTACGCGACCCTTGCGCTGAAGATCAATCGATACCTTTAGAAAGTTACGATAGATGACCAAAAACACTACTCGCCAAAAAACACAAAAGAAGAAAAAATTTAACACGTAAAGTATAGGAAAAGGCTTACGGAAACAGCTGTATCCCAGTGAAAAATCAAAATTTTGGAATTTCGAAAAATGCAATGAAAAGGGGAAGAAAAATTCTACTCAAAAATCCAATAAAATTTTTTCAATTTTAAGGTGCCTTCCTCCTCTTAAAAAGAGAGAGAGAGTTAACGTTGAGGTTGAAAACGTAAACAGTAATCAAATCGTTCGAAGAAAAAAAGGTGCGTTACAAAAAAATTAAAAAGTCATGCAGATTTGAGAATGTTTTATTAATTTTTTCCTTCTTTCTATTGATATAACCTTCAAATGACCTTGAAGGTGACTTAGTAGAGTTCATGTGACCTCAAATTTTTTCAGATTTTTTACCACTTTTCCTTTATTTGACCTTCAAATGACCTTGAAAATGAACCAAACTAGAAAAACCGACACCAGATTCGGATTCAGTAACCCCAAAAACATAAAGTCTACTAGGTCTGATCTCTGGATTTAAACTTTTCTTTTGTTTGGCCGTGTTATCCACATGGCGATTTTTCGCCATTTTCTCGCATACAAATACCTAAAATTGAATTTTCTTTGAATTTTGAGAATTCAATAAGGCGCGTGCTTCAGGTTTTACAGTAAAATTTAATGAAATTCCGGAAACCCTTCTTGTAACGGAATCCATTCCATTTTTATAATGATGGAATTTGTTGAAAAACTCGACTTCTAATAACCGAAAATATGCTTAAACTCATTAGCTATTGTGCAGCTTGAGTACTTAATGCCTTAATGGCGTGACCATGAGCTATTTCAAAAATCTATGCGTAAATGATAGTAACTTATCACACAAACGCGCTATCGTCTGATCGAATTGCGTAATGTTGCGGCAACTTTTTGTGCTATCTAAGTTATTTTCAAGATAAAATGATATTTTTCTGAATAAAAGATTATCCGTTTTGCTCACGATGTATGGAGTAAGATAAATTTTTGTGATCTTGGTAAGCAGGTCATAAATAAATTTATAGTCACAGAGGGTTTTTAGATCGACTATTTTTGATAGTTAGCCACGTTTCGACTAGCTTTCCTAGTCCTCATCGGGCTTACTACACAACAGAATAGGTACAGATGTTATAATGTCATAAAAAAATTGTAGCAAAAAATCTTCATCCTATCCTATAAAAGTGGTGAGGATTTTGGCGTTAGCATTTTATACGGGCTGTGATTGGTTGTTCAGTAGCTTGCTTTTGTTTGGTAGCGCGCAAATACGAGTATTATAGTAAGTTAAGAAAGTGGAATATTAACCTACGGACGGCTGAAGACTAATTTTGATTGGTTTTCTCGAGGAGACGCTAAGGTAAAAAGCCGACCTATTGCTTATTTTTACAGTTTATAACATAACCTTTATTTAATTTTTCTTTTTTAAATATTGGAAAATGGCAAAGCGGAATAAGAAAAAAGAGAGCGCGCGAAGCGCTCTGAAAGTCGGGCTAGTATAATATATTTACCAAGCGTTATCCAAGTTAAATTGCCGGTATGAACCGTAAAATAGTCAGATTCTTACTAACAAATAATATTTTCATCTCTGATGTCTCCAAATCGTATGGCAATGTTATTAAAATTCCGTTTATTAACCAATCAATTTTTGACAAATTAAAGAGCCTGTTTAATGGTTTCTGTTTCGTCGAGAATTCAGAATTAATCTGAATTATTAATTTAATTTAATCCTCATGGGCGAGAACGCCTATGGATAAGGCAAATCTTTTTGCTTCACACCTGAAAGAAACTTTCACTCCACACGTTAGAATGGTCGCCGAAGAAAAAGAATATGAAATTCTGGCTGAATGCCCACCTCAAGACAATTTAAACAATGCGCCGATCTCGGTCAAAATTAATGAAGTTTCGGAAATAATTAAAAACCTAAATTTCAAGAAAGCTCCAGGTTTTGACGGAATCTCTGGAAAGGTATTCAAGGAGCTACCCTCAAAGGCAGTAAGACACATAACAATCCTGTTAAACGCGTCTTACTGGCTCTCATACTTCCCAAAGCAACTAAAAATAGCACAAATCATTTTGATAGCTAAACCGGGAAAAGACCCTACCAAGGTAACATCTTACAGGCCCATAAGTTTGCTGCCAGTCCTCACAAAAATCCTGGAAATCACAATCGCAAAGAGGCTTCATAAAATTATCGAAGAAAAAACGCTGATTCCAAATTATCAATTTAGGTTTCGTAAGAAGCATGCCACCATAGAGCAAATAAATAGGATCACTGCACTGATCAGGACTGCATTTGAAAGGAATGAATTTTGTAACGCAGTATTCCTTGATATTTCACAGGCCTTTGACAAGGTCTGGCACAAGGGACTCATACATAAACTGAGGAAATGTTTGCCCAGCAAAATGGTAGCGCTTCTGGAATCATATCTAAGTGATAGATCCTTCACGGTGGAATGCGAAAATCACTTCTCTGCATTCTATCCCATCGAGGCTGGAGTACCACAGAGTAGTATTTTGGGACCAACCCTCTACCTCATGTACACAGCAGATTTCCCGACGGAACAAAACATCACCATTGCCACCTATGCTGACGATACAGCATTGCTTTACACGAATACAGATCACATCTTAGCCGCGGATATCATGCAAACCCACATGAGTCGAATGGAGGAGTGGTTTAAAACCTGGAAGATAAGCGTCAACGAAACTAAGTCGGTCAACATTACATTTACGCTAAAGAAGGATACATGTCCTCCAATCAAATTAAATGATAAAGTAATACACAAGAAAACCAAGTTAAATATCTTGGTATGTATCTGGACCGTCGTTTGACATAGCGCCCTCACATCTGGAACAAGAGGAAGCATCTGAATCTCAAGGTCAAAAAGACGTATTGGCTTCTGGGAAAAAGATCGCAATTATCACTAGAAAACCAGCTCCGATTGTATCTATCGCTACTCAAACCGGTGTGGACATACGGTATCCAGATGTGGGGAGTAGCATCAAAAACGAACATCGATATTATCGAAAGGTTCCAGAATAAAACCTTGCGAAGCTTAGTTGACGCACCCTGGTACATGCCAAACAACCTCATCCTAAAAGACCTTAAAATAAGTTCAGTGCAGGAGGAAATCAAAGCAAGTTACCGAGGATACGACAAAAGGTTATCTGAACACCCAAACAACCTGGCCAGAGCACTGCCAACAATAAATAAAAAAAGAACATGGCTAAAAAGATTAAGATTGATCGAGACAAACAATGTATAACATATAAAACTACCAAGAATGTAATATCTGTTCTTTTTATGGAATTTAATTTTCAACTTTTATAGACTTCGCGTGAAATCATTGGATTTTCACGGAAGAGGATATTTGTAATTTCACAATGATATAAACAACTAAATTGCATAGCAAATGAACTCATTGTCCTATAAGGACAGATTGTATCATAATCTCTTGAAAAAAAAAAAAAAAAAAAAAAAATATAGTTAATTACATACTTTATAAGTACCAAAAAAACTTGACTGCATTATCCACTTCCTTCCACGAAAAAAAAAATCACGAAAAACAAGTCATTTTTGAGGCGCTAGATGAGAGCCTTCCCTTAAAAAAAGTCAATCTAACAACCCTCTGTGACTATAAATTTATTAATTACCTGCTCACCAAGATCACAAAAATTTATCTTACTTCATAAAATGATATTGTATAATAATATAGATTTATGATAAGCAAAGCAATAAATATAAATTTATTATTTGAAAGAATTTTTTTCATAAAACATAATTTATTTAATTTACCATCAATATTAAGCATCATTTTCCATTGCGATGGTCGAACAGATTGATGAAAACCAAACCAAACTTCTCTTCCACCTCCAAGTGGATGATAATAACCATCAGGACTGCTAAAAAAAGATCTTCCGACTGGAGTATACGTCATTGACGGAAGATGTCTCATTACTACATCTAAAGCAAGAATCGCGTCGTATGGTATCTGTCTTGTTCGACCTTCTAATGCTTCTTCAAGTGCAAATAATGATACCTGAGCAACCCATTTGATAACAACTCGAAATACTCGATCTTTACCCTCACCGGGAAGAATTACCTGCGATGATATATTAATTTTATGATCAGCCAAAATTGTAAAAGACAAGAATACCTACCTCTAATTCCAATTTATCGGTACCAATAGGTAAAGGATCTCTTGTATACAAGTTATTTCGTCCATCAAAAACTGGTTTTAATGTTCCAAATATTTTACTGTAGGCGTGAACCATAGTCTCAATAATTTCACGATTAACTTTTCTTGGACATTTATCAGGTTGAATATTAATATCATAATGATGAACATATCCACGAGGCATAGTTATTTGAAAATGATTAGCTCTCAAACCAATAACTCGACCTTCACGTCCTATATTCGGTCTGCGAGGACAAGCGAACACTGAAATTCAATAAAATATATTTAGATTATTTTAGCTAAATACACAATTTATACTCAATTATCTAGAACTTTTCATCTAATACATCGTTACTAATATATCGAACTATATATCGTTAAGCTTCCGCGTGTCTTTCTTTCGATTGAGCGTTGTTTTTTCAATGGGAGCGATAAGCTCAGTTTATTCAAAATATATTTTAGTACATCGGTGATTTGTGGCATGGTTACATATATTATGTACGCGGTAAAGCAAGAAGGAAAACATAAGGAAGTAAAAAAATATAGGAAGTTTTTAGGATTTTGTGTGGCCCATCGTTTTCTCCTTCTGTCCCTGTTTAACCCCCATGGAACTCCTGTTTGGCACTACTTGTGGCTCGTCATGTTTGCACTGTTTCGTATTGTGTCTTCTTCTTGCCGCATCGTCCGGTAACCTTCTTCTGGCCATCTCTTCGGTTCTCAGACTGGCTATAACTGAATGGACGAAGGGGGCTACCGCGAGTTAGTTTTTTTTGTCCGCTACCGTGAGCTGGACGACGTTCTCCGGCAACGTCTTTGAGCTGCTGATGGAGCTTCTCTCTTCCCTCCTCAAATCCAGGACAGTGGAAGAAGACATTCTCCGTTTTTTCGACCGTGCGGATACAGGTTGGTCAATTTGCTAGTCCATTAAGTCCAGGACTAGCAAACCAAGGACTAATTTTGCTGAAAATGGGGTCTGGAGAACTTGCAAGTACGCACAAGTCAAAAGTTATGGAAGGCTTTATCCAAAGAAACGTGATTCGAAAAAAAAAATTTTTCTTTTTTTCGAATTTCCACCTGAAAATCTTTTAAATCCTGGCATCTTCGGTACAAATAAAGCGTCCACGGGTCCTTCTCTTAAAGTTATGATAGTTCCGATTGGTGAAATATGATTTTAACTACAAAAAATGGCGAATGAAAAACGAAAACGTATGGACGCTTTATTTGTACCGAAGACGCCAGGATTTAAAAGATTTTCATGTGAAAATGTGAAAAAAAAAATTTTTTTTCTTCAAAATCACGTTTTTTGGATAAAACCATCCATAAATTTTGACTTGTTTGTTTGTTAAATTGAAAATCTGACACCGGATTCGGAAAGTTCATTAAATTTTTCTTAAAGTATGCTTACTCGCAAATTCTCCAGACCCCATTTTCAGCAAAAATACAACGGTTCAAAAAAGTATCAAAAATGTGTCCGTCCCGGACTTAATGGGCTAGCGTTGTGGTCGTAGCGTTGGCTGTGGTATTGAAAAAGCTGTGGCCTGTCAGGAGCTGAGTTAGGTGATAGTCTAGACTAGAGAGGTAGCTACATCTCCGTGTCTCCTCTCTATTCAGGACCTTGTGACGCGATGGCCGCGCCGTGGCTTCGTTGATGTTGGCTGCAGCTTTTAGCGCACCAAAAAAAACATTTAAAAAAAGTGCATCTGCGTGCGCAGTTGGGTATGCTGGTCGCGATTTGAGTCGCTCCGGTGATACGTGCGTCGATGGTGTGTGTGTATGTGTATGTGTGTGAACTCGCTGCGGCTTAATGCGCGCGAGTTTCGTTAGTGTGTGTGTATGCATGAGCGAGCTGTGACTTGGGCGCGCTGGCAATACATGCTGCGAGTGCGAGACAGAGCGCTCGAGCTGAGCTGCGCCGCGAGACGCGCTGGCTTGTGCGCAGCGGTTGAGCGTCGATCATGTCGAAATGAGTCGGGAGTGTTGGTTTGCGAGCTTGGCGGCGCGAGCAGCAGCGAGCGATCACGAGCACCGATCGGCATTCGAGTCCCAGCAGCTCAAGAGAGAACATCTCAGTTCGCAGATTTCAACGAAGTTAAGCAAGTGTAAGGGTTTGGTATAGTATATTGTGTGCGTGTGTGTGTTGTACGCTCGAGTCTACTCGCGTGAGTGTGGTTGTGTATGTATGCGTGTTGGATGATAGTTGATTAAGGATCGACCTGGTGCGCTTTTAAGAGCTGCACCATTCTACCCGGTGTGTGTGAAGGATTAGCCGAGTGGCAACGAGGTAGTAGGCTAGCGCACGCGCTGGACTTTGTCCTGCCTGCGTGCAGCTGGTGTGGTTAGCTGAGTAGCGAAGCACAGATTACTCAGTGGTCTTGTGCACCTCTTCTCTTCGGCGACACCAAGCGCGCCTCACCCAAGTGCAGCAGAGGAACCCGAGTTCGAGAAGCAGCGAGCGAGGTCGTAGAGTCGCGTAGAGAGCGAAAAATTAGTGGTGTTAGTGTACCCTGCACACGGCTTCGGGTAATACTCGGTGAGCGAGTAGAAAGCCTTGTGGCAACCTGATGTTCGGGATCAGCCTGATTGTTCATCTTCTTTTTGGCGAACGATCCCACCGGCTCTGCCAGCGTCTCCTGGCGTTCTAAGTCTCTCGCGTCTTCATGGCTGTGCTGTTAGAGCTGGCTTCGCTCGTCTGCTAGTAAGGCCAGAGGTAATATGCTGGCGAGGACGTAGGATGACCACTGATGATGCGCAGGCAGGCTCGCCGATGGATTACTTCCACCTGACGCATGTCGGCCCTTATTCTGAGTCCACAGTTCCAGATGGGGGCGCCGTAGAGGAGGATCGTTTTGATGAAGTTGACATATAGCCGCCTCTGGCTGCTCCTGGGGCCACCGATGGTCGGTATGATCTGTGACGGGGTTGCCGCCACTCTCGAAACCTTCTCGCTTGACGCTCTGAGGTGCTCATTTAATTTTAACCTCGCGTCCAGTTATAGGCTCAGGTAGTGGGTGCAAGGGGAGGAGGGGATGAAGCTGTCACCTACTTCAATGGTGATGGTCTCAAACCTCCTTTTCTTTGATATTAGAAGGGCCTCAGTTTTGTGCTCTGCCATCTCGACCACGGTGATGTCATCCGCGAAGCCAAATATGCGCACTCCTCCATCCGAGTTGAACGCGTTGCGAACGTCGAGGGTGACGACGGCATAGTACTTGCGGCTGCCCCTCACGCCTCCGACCGCCTCACGGGCTGCAGCGGTGATGGACTCAATAGCGTCTATGGTTGATCTTCCTCTTCGATGATGGTCTGAGAAGCCCTCCGAGGCCTCTGTGTACACCTCCAGTAGGGCGGATCGAAAAACCACTTTTTTCACGGATCGCTTTGTAACAGCAAAAAATCGTCACTATTTAGTAAAAAAGTAAAAAATCCGAAGCCTGGGTGCGGGCAAGCGATGCCTTCAGTTAACGCATCGAGCTCAAAGTTTATTTTTCACGCGAAAGATGCACGCACGTATTCGACTGATATCGTTTTTATATATCTCGGCTTGGGAGCATCCGATTCATTTAAAATTTTCAGGGCTTATTGTAAATATAAAAAGGAAGTTTTCTGTAAAATATTAGCCTGCTAGGTGATCTAGAAGCGAAGATAATCACAAATGAAGTTTATGAATTAACGTAATTTTGGAAATTTTTTGCATTTTTCTCAACTTTGAATGTCCAATTTTGTAGCAATTAAGATCTTTCAAAAACAGAAATTTTTGTCTTTTTAAGAGGTTCACAACCATATAGCTTAGTATAGGGGTTTTATAAGTATTACTCAAACTACAGTGCAAAACGTTCGTGTATAGCAGACGACTTGAGTCGCAGAGTACGTTGCACGACTCCGGAGTCCAAACGCACACACACATGCACATAATTTCATTATTATGCACAACAGAATGAACTTAGAAACAACAGCAAATATAAACTTTAATAATAATTCGCAAAGTATACGAGATTGAATGAGTACGCTCTTATTGTCTATGCGTTTTTTTTCTACTCCACCTCATTTGGACACACACTGGTAACCGACGCGAGACGACGCGAGAGACAAAAGTTACACGATGAGTTACGAAGCAGCACAAATTTTGAAGACTTAAAATTAAAAAATTTTTTTCAATGGAAGGAAAGACAAGACTTTAATTAAAAATAACTTCGGATCTAAAATTATAAGAGAAGAGCACGTAAGTTTGCTAGAAGAACCGGGCAGTAAACATTTAGGATACATCACAATACAAAAAGGAAACGCTAAGTCGATCTTGGAAGGAATGAACAATTTCCTAAATTCTAACCGTATCAGCTCTAACTTTTTGATGGCAGTTAATTAATAGACTATTTATATGTGAATTTTGTCATGAATCATTTAGACAAGAAAGTGACCTCGAGCGCCATAAGACTCATTCCTTTTATCTGAAATTTTGGATGGTATATTGGACCTGGAAAATGAGCTTGAACTTCGCAAGGGCACTGTCCATAATCAGAGCAAACCCAGTGAAAGTGAGATTTTTTCTGATTCGCTCGGAGCAAAAAATAACCTCGATTTACACAAAACTGTTTTACATAATAGAATCGAAGCCTTTCAATGTGACATTTGTTATAAATCATTTGGATACCAGTGGGTACTGAATAATCATATAATTTCAATACACGAATCTAACAAACCTATGAATGTGGAATATGTCCCAAATACAGTATCATAGCCACAGTAAACCTTATGAATGTAAATTTTGTCCCAAATCATTCGGATATTTAGGGACTCTCAAAAGACATATAAAAAAGGTCCATTCCTTCAAACAATCTTAGCCAAAAATATGGCAGATACCAGAATAAACTTAAGAGATACAATTTGAGAGCGCACAATCTCAAGTCCCGAGACAACTGCGACTATGTAATTTTAAAAAAATCTTCAGAATAAATATCCAAAATTGGTTATGGATGGTACATATGTAAACGTGGGAATTCACAAAGGAGTTATTAGAAAAATCGAATTGGCTCTTAATCGACCGCTGCAGTGGATCATATGTTTTGATGCGATTCCGGCTAGATGAGAGCGCTCGAAGAAGCAGGCCTATGTTGTTGTTCTATCTCGCTGGCAGCAGGGGTGTCTGCGCTCCGTTCGCTAGCGCTCCGAAGTGACGAGGGTCCGAGCTGCGAGATGTCCGGGGTCGAGGCGCGGGATCCGCGCGGGCAGCTCCGCAATCTCCGGTCCAGGAGGCGTAGCAGGATCCACCGGTGTAGCTGCAGCTCCTTGGCGGCGACGACGTACTCCTGGAGGGTGATGGTCGGTGGCGGCGGCGGCTCCGGTCTTGCGTCCTAGTGCGTGGCAGGCAGAGGTGACATGGAAGGAAAGGGGTAGAGGACAGCTCACCGAATAAACAACACTGATTTATTCGGATCCAAAAGTTCGAATTTTATTTATTCTCCTTTTCGAATCGGAGCGAGTACAATTTTACTCGTCCGATGAGCCTCTATATAAGCCTACAACTTATCTTTCTTGATTGCGGGTTTCAACCTCGCCCTCTAGCGGCGCAACTTAATACTAACATATCTTTATTTACAATTCTCCGGAGAGTGACATCTGCAGAAATCAAATCTTAATTTATATCAGTTTATTACATGCCAACAATTGCCTTTGAGATATTTATTTGAAAATTTTGATGGTCAAACAACCGAGCCAACAATAGTTTTTCAAGAGATATAGGAAAACAACTTGAAAAATGTGAAAATTTAACGGTAGTTAAGTTTGAACCAATCGCGTCTCAATTTTTTTATACAGGAGATCATAAAGATTTAAGAATAGATCAACAATATCTACACGATATATTTTTATCTGTGATTAACGGTAAATGTACAAAAAAATTAGAACGTTGCAATCCAGGAAAAATTAACCATGCGCGCTGGTTAACTTTAGCTAATCGATTATTACGACTCTACATTTCAACGAAAGAACCATCGCATGCCCTGAAAACGTTAACATTTTTTTTAATGAAAGTGTAATTTTCATCATGGTTTAACATAAAACAAAATCACTCAGTAATTGACAGCGCAAGAAATTTTCATTTTATTGTGAAAAGCTCAAGATATTTGAGTAGTGAACTAATCAAAATCATTGATCCAGTATTATTAAGAAATTCATATTTTTCTCGCCCAGGAAATTTATTACTTTCAATGATGTTCGATGAAAAAAAAGAAACCAAGGTTACAGCTCGTAGTTACATAATGAAAGCTCGAAGTGAAACAAAAGGACTTCGAAAATTCGTTCGACTAAAGGGTTTGAATTTCAGAGCTGAGAACTACACAGATTTGGTTAATTTAGACGATATATGTATCACCGAACCTCCTCTCTTACACAATTATAGTGAAGATAAGTTAAAAGAGCTCGTAGAAAACGTTGGTCTCGTTTCTGAAGATATTACTCAAATACCATGCCACACCCAAGCTGTTAAACGTTGCATCAAACTAGTGACAGAATCATCGCTTGCTCATAGTTCTGACGAAAGAAGAGATGCCAGTATTAGAGCTACTACAGCGTCAAGGCAAGCATCTTCAGATTTGAGTACCAAAAAAGGACAGCAGTCATTCCCATTTTCATGAATCAATTAAATTAAATTTCGTTGAATTTTAGATGTTTATAATATTAGTATTGATTCTATGAGTACAGATATACCAAGGACTTTTGAATAAAATTAATTTCTAAATCAATAAATTTGAGCTTTTTATTTATATCCATGCCTGTCTGCTGTGGTTTGTTCAAACTTTTACCAAGAGTTTCATAGGGCTTGCTGAAAAGAAATTTTTTACCTGAAAACAGTGCCGTATAAGAGAGTTCGCACGTTTTGCACTGTAGTTTGAGTAGTACTTATAAAACCCCTATACTAAGCTATATGGTTGTAAACTTCTTAAAAAGACAAAAATTTCTTGTTTGAAACGTCTTAATGGCTACAAAATTGGGCCACGTAGAGACATTCAAAGTTGAGAAAAATGCAAAAAATTTCCAAAATTACGTTAATTCATCAACTTCATTTATGATTATCTTCACTTCTAGATCACCTAGCGGGCTAAAATTTTACAGAAAACTTCCTTTTTATATGTACAATAAGCCCTGAAAATTTTAAATGAATCGGAAGGCATCGCTTGCCCGCACCCAGGCTTCGGATTTCTTACTTTTTTACTAAATAGTGACGATTTTTTGCTGTTACAAAGCGATCCGTGAAAAAAGTGGTTTTTCGATCCACCCTTACCTCTACGCGTCCGCATATAATCCTCTCCAGGATTTTGCCCACCGCATCGAGCATCTATACCAGACGAATCTGCAAGTTCAGCATCCCAGCAAACATGGCCGTCGTGCCTGACGCCGCAGGCTGCGCAGAGATCGTGTGCGAGTTACCGGTCGGTATACCGGCGATCGACACACACAGAAACACACACACCCTCCGCTGGCCCTACAAGTTGATGAGCAAGCGCGCATATAACAGCACCGCCCTGAGGATGTCAAGGAAGAAGAGAGAAGAGAGACATTGAGCAAGTGGCAGGACCGGTGGGACCGGGCCTGAAAGGGCCGATGGACACACCGGCTAATTCCAAACATCACAAAATGCGGAGAGAGGGGACACGGAGAAGTGGACTACTACCTCACGCAATTCCTGTCCGGGCACGGCTACTTCAAAAGTCATAGCCAGCACTATGATAACAACCTCAGCGCACTCTGCCCAGCCTGCCCAAGCACGATAAAAGACGCGGAGCATGTGTTCTTTCGCTGCCCGCAATTCCACGAAGAGAGGGAGAGACTTCAACAAGTCCTCCAAGAAGTAATCGAGCCGAAAAACATCTTCAGGCTTATGCTCGAGACCGTAGGCAATTGGATGGCGGTACCGTCTTTTGCGCAATCAGTCGTCTCCAAACTGAGACAAGAAGCGCAAGAGATTTAAAAACGATCCGGACGATGCAGCAAGAAGAAGACGACGCTTCTGATTCCCGAACCCCTAATCACTGCAAGCTGGACGGAGGATGTACGGAAAAGACACTGATGTGGAAGAGAAATACCGTAAGCAGGATTTCCCTCCTTCCAAAAAAAACACACGACGGGATCCCTAACACCACCCTCAAGGCAGCGGTGGAGGAATGTTTCGACAACAACTCGGTGTGGTGGACCGAAATTCTCATCGGCCTGAGCCAAATGGAGGTCCCAGCTTATCTATTGCGGATAGTGGCCAACTACTTCTGCGACAGTGTTAGAGTTCACCACGGATGATGGAGCAGAGACCTACGATGTTACGGCTGGCATGCCACAGGGATCCGTACTTGGCCCCATTCTTTGGAACGTCATGTACGACAGGATCCTAAGGCTCAAGCTTCTGGAGCCCGCAAAAATGAATCTGAATGCAATTTTCGATCCATTTAGACATTGAGCTCTTGAAATTTTTAGTAAATGTTTTGGTTACCTCCCACTTTCCCGAATCTGCTATCACGACAACCATTTTCACACTCTCTGGCACTATGTCATTCGCATTGCACTCGCTGCATTCGTGGGCTACCCTCACTTCGCTTCACAAGGAAGAGCGATTTATAAATCGGAAAAGAAGCATAAATGTGAACTTAGCACAGAACTATAAATGACGAACGATACTCGAGCTAAAAAGTTTTACTTCAGGTACTTGTATCGTGAATAAATATTTATGAAATACATTGAATGGTTATTGTAGCTAATGTGGCAGCGACAAAGTTTTTCTATTAACCGCATTCAGAAAAAACTAGTAATCTAACACCTTATTTTTGTCAGCAATAATTCTAAATTATTTCTCAAAATATAAACCAATAAAAATTGTTACAAAATTTATCTAGAAAATTGCAAAAATGTTATAATAGAAATGAAAAAATGTAATTACTTGGCAAATCAGGTGGTTGAGGAGGCGTATGGGTTTGTGAAGATACAACTCCAAGAGTATTCGATGATACGATGTTCCCTGAAGTTGCCCCAGTCGCTCCAACAGCGGTACTTGCTGTTGAGCCTGGAGCAGCAGCTGTAATAAATATAATGATAAATTTTTGCATAAAATTCCATTAAAATTTTATTTATTGTTTAAATAATACATTATACATTTATAATATATTATACATAATAGATTGACAACTTTTAAATATAAAGGCAAATCTTTTACTGTTTCTCTTACGGTAATTTATACTAAAAGCTACAACTCTGTTAGATAACCCAGTTGAAAAAAATTAAGTGGATTTCTACGTGGATTATCTAAGCAGATTCCGTGTGGAAAGTACGTGGATTCCACAAGGAAAGTGCATTGATTCCATGTGGAATCTGTGTGGATCATTTTTGTAAAAATCTGCCAAGATTTTTCGATTATTCCTTGAAAAAGGATACGAGCGTGGAATTAAGTTTTCAAGAGATAACCGAAAAATCTTGGCAGATTTTTACAAAAATGATCCACGCAGATTCCACGTGGAATCAATGCACTTTTCTTGTAGAATCCACGTACTTTCCACGCGGAATCTGCGTGGATAATCAACATAGAAATCTACGCAATTTTTTTCAACTGGGAAGTAAGTAAGTAGCACAGCACTATAAAAATTGCGTACAATACTCGTGCCATTCAGCCCTAAAGGTATGAAAGGTAGGTATTTTGGCCCCACGTCGTGCCAAAAAGTGTTACCTATGGCCATTGTATCGTAAATTATTAATTATTATCATGCACAACCCCTACCCCCCATTCACTCATTTCAATATTCACGATTGAAGTTCATTAAAAAAAATATGGTAATTGATACCGTCATCTCTCGTTATACGCGGTTTTGTTACATGCGGATTTGGCCTATACGCGCTTGACCAATTGTGAAGATCCTCGCTATAAGCAGATTTTTGACTGGCTATGCGCGGATGTTCCAAAAGAAATGTGACTTAGATCTATAAGTTTATGAAGATCTGCATAAAAACTTCTGACGAGAAATTAAACGAACCGACATTAGGGTAAATGTGGTATAAATGAATAAACTATACTATAATAACTACATAAACTATAATAAACGTCAAAAAATGAATAAACTAATATTATGATTTTCTAAATGTATATGACTGTAACTTAACTTTATCAGTATTTATAGTAAGTTTTTCTCATCCTCTGAGTTGAAAATTAATAGATAACAATGAAGTTAACTATTGTTAAAGCATTCTTAAAATGTGATTCTCGAAATCGAGCAAAAAAAGTTAAAAATTTTCGTGTTTAGACCCATTATGTTGTAGTTGATTTAATTAATTGCATCGACTTGGAAAGAAAAGTGATAATTAATGCTGAGCGAAGCGAAGTCGTTTATCCTTTCAGCTCAATGGATTTTGGCACATTTTGTGTCAACGGTTTCTAGAGAACGACGCCACGGAATGTTATGAAATTTTCAAGGGTTGTTGAGGGCGGTCAGCCGAAGGTCTGATTGCCACGTCCGTCGACCTGGTGCACCAGGTTGCCGATCTGGCCCCGGTGAAGGCTTCTTCAAGAACATTCGATATTATAAGATCGTACTGGCCGTGTAAAAAGCATTAAACTACATTTCGTCGACCTGGTGCACCAGGTTGCCGATCTGGCCCCGGTGAAGGCTTCTTCGAGAACATTCGTTGTTTTTAGGTCGTACTGACTGTGTTACCGGCAAAACCCGCTTTTAGGCAAAAGTGACTTATGCCTAGGCAAAAATAAAAATGCCTAAAATTTTAGGCAGAAACCGCAATGCCTAAAAAAGTATAGGAAATTCCTAAATTTCTTAGGTAAAACCCGCAATGCCTAAATAGTTTTAGGCATTACTGTAAACATTAACACGTTAGTATACGGCTAGTCAGCATCTAAGCCGGACGTATTTGTTAGTTTTGTTTTGTATATAACTCAATACGGATACAAGCGTATACTCTCACTAGTTGAAAGAAAAAATGGAAACTGCAACCAATAATTGGAAAGAGCAGTTCCTCGCCGAGGCTAGAAAAAAAGAGCACTATAAAGTTCTTTCAATGGCAGAGATTGAAGAAATTATTAAAGACATGCTAAACGGAAAAATCACGTCAAAAAAATCTTTTAGCAAATAAGACGTGCAAAACGATTCGATGTATTAGAAGTAGATGGTGTGAACCAACTTATCGCCAAGATCAAACCCGGTAGTAGCATTAAGTACTATGTACCGCTTGAAGATGTCTTTGATATCATTCAAGCCGCGCATATTGCGACCGGACATGGTGGGCGCGATAGGCTTTTGAAAGAAACTTCGATCAAGTATGCTAACGTTACAAGAGAATTGATTGAGTTATATTTAAACATGTGTGAAGTCTGTCACCAGAAAAAAATAAAGAGAAGGAGGGGGCTGGTATCCAAGCCAATTTTGCATGCAGAAATCAATAGTAGATGTCAGGTGGACTTAATTTTCAATCATTAAGTGTCGATGGGTTTAAGGGGATACATACACCTTAAACTCAAAAAAATTTTTATTGCCTTATTGAGTAGGATTTTTCCGTCCCTTTCCATTGCTTTTTTCGAAATTCCAAAATTTTGATTTTGCCCTGAGATACAGCTGTTTCCGTGAACCCTTTTCCTATACTATACGTGTTAAATTTTTTTTTCTTTTGCGTTTTCTGGCGAGTAGTGTTTTTGATCATCTATCATAACTTTTAGAGGGTATCGATTGAGCTTCAGCACCAGGGTCGCGTACACTTGTTCAAGAGAATGGTTACGGTCACTATCTCGGATGAGACGATCGAACCAGTAGGTCACTCTCAAACAGTACTTTTATGACTTAAATTTCGGTAAATACGAAAAATAGAAAAAAATGTGTGCTTAACTGTTCATGCAGAGCAATCTGCCCGTTCGATCGTCTCATCCGAGGTAGGGACCGTAACCATTGATGTTCTGAAGAAGTGTACGCGACCCTGGTGCTGAAGCTCAATCGGTACCCTCTGAAAGTTACGATAGAGGGCCAAAAACACTACTGGGTAAAAGGGTTCAAAATCAAAATTTTGGAATTTCGAAAAAAGCAATGGAAAGGGACGGAAAAATCCAACTCAATAAAGCAATAAAAAAATTTTCGAGTTTAAGGTGTATGTGTCCCCTTAAGTGGATAATGGTATACCAGGATCACTTGACGAAATTTGTCGTTCTAAATGCATTAAAAACAAAACGCGCAGAAGAGGTAAGTGAAATTATAAAAATTACAATTACGAATTGACTTGAATATTTATTTATTAATGCAGATAGCACATAATATAGTTCGGATATTTTTGACCTTTGGTGCACCGTGCTTGTTGCATTCCGATAATGGAAGAGAATTCGTAAACTCTATTATCAGTGAGTTGAAAATATTGTGGCCTGAACTGATATTAGTCCACGGAAAACCTCGACACAGTCAATCACAAGGCTCTGTCGAGAGAGCAAACCAGAATATAGAAAATATGATATCAACGTGGTTAATAGATAACAATACTAGCAGATGGGTCGATGCTCTACCTTTTATACAATTTATGAAAAATAGAGCATACCATTCTGGTATTAAGCAATCGCCCTATAAAGCCATGTTCGGTATGGATCCGAAAATTGGCTTGTCTAGTTCTAGTCTTCCTAGTGATGTTGCTAAAAAAATACACGATGAGGATGAGCTTTTCAATGTGATTGAGAACATTAGACAGGATGACATTCCTGTGCATAGTACATCATTAGGAGACGAACGTACAGAGCAACTTGACACAGAACCAGCCGTATGTGATCAACAATGGGACGAACCGACCGCTTCTCAAAATCACAATATTATTGTATCCAGAAAAAGAGCTGCGGACGCTCTAGAACACCAGGCCAAGCGAATGAAAACAAGATCTGACAAGGCACATACAGAAATCGAAGTAGGCGATTGTGTAATGATACCGATTCCTGATGTAGATCGAGTTAAAAGCGATTTACGCAATGTGATTGGTGTGGTTTTGGAAAAAATTATGGCCTTTATAAAATCGGATCAAAACATGGGATTATCAACAAGCAATTTTGCAGGTAAATCGTACTACGTTCGTCCGTAATTGCTTCATTTCATTAATTTTTTTATTCGTAGATCTGAATTCGATGTGTGCCGAAAACATTTTTTGGCTAAATCTGATGTACCACTACAAGAAATTTTATCCTTGCGTACAATTGCGAATAAGCAATCTACGAGTGGAGGACAAGGCTTTTTCAAATGCACTTGCAAAACCGCTTGCAAGACAAAGATATGCATGTGCCGAAAAAATAACGTTTTATGCAATTCCAAATGCCACAATAGTTTAAGTTGCTGTAAAAAATGACAACTAATTATTTAACTGCTTTGACAAAGCTTAACTTAAAGTGAGCTTGGACTTTTGTACTTAAATAAATGTGTATTTTTTCACTTTACATTAATTTTTTACTTAAAATTATTAGCTCACAGTAATGCCTAAGATTTTTTAGGCATTGCGGGTTTTGCCTAAAAAATTGTAGGCATTGCGGGCAATACATAGAGCTAAAGCACTATTTTGCCAATGAGTAGCCTACGATTATATACCATCACGTTAATACTAGATAAGAACGTAGATTTGTGCTCGATTTGTTTTGTTAATATCGTGCATGGCATGCATGCCCTCCACGTTGGCCTGACACGGTATTTTGTCGTGGATTCCATAGCATTACATGTGACACATAAGACTTATCTGTACACAGCTGATAGTCCAAAATTTGACGCTTTTCGCATGAACACAGTTTTTCAAAGTACAGTGAGTACAACACAGTGCCTTGGTGTCTTTCCGTGATTTTGTTTCCGATCCTCAATTACAGTGATTTCTAATTTCTCCTAATTTTTAATTATTCTAATTTTAATTTTAATATCCAATATTTATAATTTGAAAAAGTCGATAAAAATGTCTTAATTGCTGTTATAAACTCGGGTAGATAGATACTGCAATTCGTTCACTTTGAAAAGTCTGAAATATCGATTCTCAAGTTTGTTTCCGACAGATACTCTTCGTTTAATGATTTTAATGATAGCTTGATTGTTGAACATTAATAAAAACATCTTTAAAGATTAAACCGGGTAAGTTTTAAACTGTCTTCGCAAAGTGTAATCTATAGCATCAAGGATCTCGGACATTAGATGCACCTTTAGATTAGACGACTCGTCGACAATTAAACCTTCTTTTTTATAATTGAGTATTTTTTTTTACCTTTTTAGGCTTTTGATCTTTTAAGGTTTTTGACCTTTTTGGTGTTTGACCTTCCAGGGGTTTGAACCTTGCGGTCTGACCTTTTTGTTTTGACCTTTTTGTACCGGAATCCTACCGAGATGTAGAAAGATAGTAAAAATGCGATTGTTTCGATTTTGGGGGTTTATAAGACTATGGGGATATATGGTGATAGAGTTATGGGGTTATCAATTTTTGATGGGTCATAAAAATAAAGAAAAAAAAACCTTATTTATAGAGATAATTGACATGAAAAAAGTTGCATATATCATACTTTTTTATTGCACTATATTCATTTCATATAGTTTTTGGTTTTCAAGTACAGATAATAAGTATTTTTTTACTCGAATGCTATTGAGTTTAGAGGAAATGTTTATTGAGCAAAAAAGTCTTAGAATTGATCGAAGAAGGTCCTCACATATTTTCAAAATTTTTAGAAAATTCGATTTCTCTTAGTTTACGAATCTTAAAAAACGACCCAAAAAATTCTGAAAAAATTTGAGAGTGATCTTTGATTAATTCTAAGACTTCTTTGTTCAATAAACTTTTTTCTTTGACTCAATGGTTTTCGAGATAAAAAAAAGGGCTTAAATACGTGTCCTGCGGTTTTGTCCGCCATACGGCACGTTACATTTCCTGAAAATTATTTTATCATATGTTTTTTGAAATTAGAGTTCAAACCCTTTCATTTGGTTCATCGTAGACCACAGTCGGGCACACGATGCGGGTTTTATAATAAATAGAACAATGCAAACAGTTGGCTCACGGGCCATATTGGGTTGAGTATTGGGTTTCGAGGAAAACGTCACGTAAATTCCGAAAGCCCTTGTTTTTACGAAAATTTTAAGCCCTGACTCGATATTTCACGACTCAGCGGTGGTCCGGTTGACATGGAATGTCACATATATTAAGTGAGTCGAGGCTGCGTTAGTTAGTTATTGCTCGAACCACAGTTTGTTCACGTTTTTTTTTAAATAATTGTAGCCGATGACATGAGGTTACAAAAATAAAGCCAACAATTTTCGATGTAGTGTAAGGTTTATAAAGTATTATTTTATTCTATTAAAAAATGTCTTCGAAGAAACTCTTTTTTTTTAATGTGAGGCCGTACGGCTCTTCGTTCAAATTCATATCTTGTCAAAAATATCTTGTAAAAATTTCATTTAAATTATCAGAGTTAAATAGATATTAATATTGACCTTTTAATTTCGGTATCTTTTCATTAACTATTAAGATTTACGTACTTACACCGTCATTTCCCAAGATAAAGAAAAACTTAACTCATAATCATTCCCCTAGGGAAATTCATCATCACTCTGATTCTTTAAAACTCTAACTGAAAAACTCTTTAAAAGTCTGAATAAGACTTAAAAATTCTTATAAATGGTCGGATTGCGTACCATGATTTTTAAGAGTTAATAAAACCTTATAAGAGTTTTAAATGATATAAATAAATTTTAAAAATTTCTGTGAAACCTGATATTTGGTTTCCGAAATATTCAGATGGATAAATAAGCAATCGCTTATTTAATTTAAAAAAATGTTTATATGTGACAATAATTGTTATAAGGAGTTATTAGGAGTAATAAAGAGTTATTAAGTGTTGATAAAAGTTTTCAATATTTTTAAAGGCTTTTTCGATCAGTATCAACGCTCACCAAAAGTCATAGTGAAAAAACTATACAAGTAACTTTATGAACAATCTAGAAAAAATGAAAAAAATGGAAAAAAACCTAACATTCTTGCTATTGTGTATCCACTAGGTTTTATGGATTTTTAAAAACTAATTATCAACTCTTTAAAAGCATTAATAAGGTGTACGAAATCCGAACATTTGTAAGACTTTTTGAGACTTTTACAGACTTTATAAAACTTTCTCATGAGAAAAATTTCAATCGGGGTTGGACCATACTTTTTGAAGTTTTAAATAAATTTTTACCACGACCTTCAGCATTCAATATTTCAGTTATTTGAAATATTTTTTTCAATGAGAAGTTTAAAAAGAGTGATTTTCCCAAAACGGAGTCAATTTTCACGGATTTTGGTCTTCAAAATTATGCCGAAAATTTTATATTAATTGATATAAAAAATAAAAACTCACTTCCGAAAATTCACCGTACTCGCTTCTTGAAGAATGCACGGCAGTTACAATTGAACAATAAAAAGACTAAGTATGTATATTTTTAATGATAAGGTATTATAGGCCTATCGCATTAGTGTTTCCAAGTCAAAAATTGTAACCGAAGTTGTTGCAATAAGGGTTTTCGAGTCCTATGAGACTGCCTCATAGGAAATTGTTCAATCTCGTAGAGTTCTCAAAATAAAAATAAAAATGTAAAAAATGGATTTGATTGGTAACGAAAAATCTGTTTAAGAAACTAATGGAAAACATAAAAGGCAGGTTCCGTAATTTTTCATTTCCTTAGAACACCTTTTTCGCAATGGTGTTGTTTATTTCTTGTACAACTTTTTGTCAAAATTGTCAAAAATAAGGCATATTTTAGCTTATTTGACTTACATATTTATGAAAAATTGTGGTTCATACAGCATTATTATAAGCATAATATTTTATGAAGCATAAGAGAAAGAAGTGAACCGATTGTTTTCTGTATGGTTGTATTAAAATAAGCTTACAACCGCTATATCAGTTTCAAAGACTGACTTTAGAAAATTGAGGTTTATTTTGTTTATTTCACAAAAAGTATCAAGCAGATCTGAAATCGATATCTTATAAACTTTAAAAATATATTGAAGACTTTATTATTTTCATAACAATAATTTTAATTTATTATGTTTTTACATTTATTCTGTTTTAAATTAAAATAGAGTAGGAACAAAAAAGGAAAAAGAAAGGGAAAATAAAAACTCATTGTATCTCTAAAAAAAAAGAAAAAAAAGTATGTTTATTCAAAATTATTGTAAGGTTAGTAGATAATACTAAAAAAGGAATAACATATTTGTGTATAATTCGTAAATTTTTTCAATGCTTTATTTATATTTTGTAATATTCTTGATAGTGATAAATTCTTCTATCCTTTTTTTTCAGTCTGCAGGTAAATTTTAGTAAACTTTTTATATACTTATATATGTTAATGTGATGCCAAATTGATTTGATTGTATAATTATTGTTTGTTCAGTGAGTACCCTTTTTTTATAGTTATGAATATTTACGATTTTTTTAATACAATAATTAAGTCAAGTTCATATATTTAAATGGTCTAAATTATTCAATACAAGCACAATGAGTTTATCTTGAATTTGTAAATCACTTCAGGATAAAACATTTCATTTTCTGTTTAATTTTTGTATTACTATTACGATTATTACTTAGTTAAAATGATTTGATATTCGTAAATAAAAATTTATTTCGAATTAATTTTATGGTCTACAATTACTGAAACTTTCAATAAGCGACTGTATTTCTAAATAATTTCTAAGCTAATACTTTTGATCAAATAAGTTACATTTTTATATTTTATACATAATTGTTTGTGCTCAGATTAAGATTGTGATTTTTTATGAAAGACTGATTAAATATACTGATAAAATGTGATTTTACTTAAAATCATTTACTTAATTTTTTAGTGTGTCAGTTTGGATACAAAAGTTATTAATTTCATCATTAAATGTTTAGATATACTTAATTTAATTTTCAAGTGCATCCATTTTTGTGGTAAAATTAAAGTTCTGAAAAAAACTATATTTTACTGTTAACATAGCTCATATTCTTGATACTAAAATTTTCATCACAAAAGTTTTGGAATAGTAAGGTTAAAAAAATATAAATATATGTCATGAGGCAAAAAGTAATCTAAATTCTTATCTTTTATTGCAGAGATCTTATTTAGTTAGATATAAGATTTACAGTTTTGTATCATTAGAAATGGTACTCAGGAAATAGATAAGTCAATATAATTATAAAAAGAATTTTAATTATGAGAACGTTTTAACACAACGAAAATGTGAGTTTCTGCAGTCTTTATATTCTTATGGAACAAAATAGTAAATTTTTTGACAGTTTCAGTTTTCAGTGCATAGTTCACACTAGTTATAATTAATGAATAATTACATTAATTCTCTTATTATTTTCTAAAACGTGCATATGATGAAAGAGAACTTACGTGGTGATATTGGATACATTTTTATTGTTGATCACAAATAACACTATAGCAATAAATTCAGAAGTGTAAAGCAAATCTCATTAGACATGGTTGGAATACTTTATTGTACCAAATATCTTCCTTCATTTCAAATATAAACATAATATACATTTTGAAGCTGTTTAGGTGTGATATCTTATCGACTTTACGACACTTTTTAAGACAATCAACGCTCATACTACGTAAACAAAACTAACTTTCGAGTTCGATTAATAGAATCATGATACGGAATGACAATGCTACGTACATAGATGAAAATTATTCGCATTGATCGCATACGAGTCGGGTTGATAAAAGAGCGTTCTTTCTTTTTGAGGTAGTAGGCTCTATTCCATACAGATCATAATACACTATGATCTGACCACGTATATTGAATTGTAGCTCCACAGTAAAATTGTAAGTTTGGTACTTTTACCATTAGGTTTTCAAGTAATGAGATGAATTAAAATAATTTTATAAGGTTTAATTTTGTTCGATGGCAAACTATTTGCCATGGTAAACTACTTCTGTGTACAATCAATTAGAATATTTATTTAATTTATTATCCTTGCAAGTAATTCAAGTTCATCATACGCTTAATTTGAGGTGGTGACCATGTCCATCGAACAAAATTAAACCACACAGAACTATTTTAATTTTTTCGATTTCTTTGAATCTTACGAAAAGTAGCTTAAATGTGTCCAATGCCTATTATAGTATAAAAGCTTTACAGACTTATATCAAAGTATTTAAATGCTTCGAAGTATCAAACTGGATAAATTAGTCTTAGATTGGGCATTAAGAAAAGGTTTTGTTGTCTTTTTTCGAAAATACTTATTTATGCAACAAATGCCCAAAAGTCCTTTTTGCCCACTCGTGTCCTTTTTCCGCACACTGTGCCCAAATAGCTGGGCACGAGTTGCATACAAAATTTCATAGTACTGTGTGGCATAAGTTCACATTTATGGCACGCTTTTCGGTGGCATAAGTCGCCCATTCTCGCACCGTGGTGTTCGCATCACACTCGCTGCGCTCGTGCGCCAACCTCAGTACCAGAAAGTGCGACTTATACGTCACGTCGTCGCGTAGGTGCTTGTAAGCTTTTAGAAACAAAATTAAGTAAGAATTTGCTCAATTGTAACTGCAGACATAATGTGGCTGAATTATTACTTGGAGCAGCATTTAACGAGTGTTTTCCTACCTTATCCACAAGTCCTGACATTGAAATGTTTAAAGATTTCAAGAACAAGTGGAATGAATTAGTAAATAAAGAAAAGCACAATACTGCTGCCGGTGATAGGCACAAGACTCTACAATGGCTCATATTAAATAAAAAAACGTAGCAGCAGAGTTTATAAGTATGTGTTTAAATAAAGAAACACAGTCAAGAGATGACTACAAAGAGCTTCTGCTGCTTTCACAAACTTTTCTTGGAGCCAAGATCACAACATTTTACAAACTCGGACCGATCCATACAGCTCGATGGTTGGCGAAAGCAATTTATACATTGAAAATGTATTTATTCAGAAAGCAGCTGAAATTGAGTCGGGAAGAAAGTGAAAATCTTTGGAAAATGAGTAGTTTTATTGTTTTTTTTATGTACCTTATTGGTTTCGTGCAAGATTTCCATTAGAAGCCGAAGCACACATTTAAAGCTACTCAAAGAATTGGATGATTTCAAAAGATATGAGCCAAAATTATGTGCAGCTTTTCTTGAAAAATTCTCAAATCATTTGTGCTGCCTATCTAAAGAACTTGTGTGCCTGGCGCTTTTTAATGAATTTGTTAACGCAAGTGAGAAGAGAGAAATGTTAAAGAAGTTAAAAACTCAAGATTCAGGAGAGAGAGAACTCAATGCCAAAATTAAATTAACCCCAATAAAAGATTTATCTTTATCTAATTTTGTCACTGAGAAAAGCTTGGATTTTTTTAAGATCACTGGAATATCAACATCATTTCGTAATACTGACCCGAGCGATTGGCCAAGCGATAAATCTTGAGATTCCGAGTTCGGAAGCGTTCTGCTACAGACGTGCGTAGCTGTGTCTCGTACCAGTTGTATTGTTAGTGACAGATTTCTGTGTTTTTTGGTGTAAACCGCTGCACCATACGTGCACAGTGTGGTGCCGCACCAGCCTGTGAGTGCCCTTTAGCTGTTCCAGTGCAGCCGAATAGCAGGAAATCGCCTTTTTTCCTGATCGCTGGCGACAGCTGAGGTGATTTTTCCCGCGTTCGGCCTATCGGTGTGTGGTGTACGCTAGTGTATGTGAGTCGATCGCCGATAGACTGATCGGTAACGCTCACACGATCCTCGCGCAGCCTGCGGCGACAGGCATGACGGCCATGTCGGCAGGGCTGCTGGACCTGCAGGCGCTCTCCAAGAGCAGTGAGCCGATGCAGAACACACCGATGTCAACGTGGCTGCGCTCCTCGCAGCCGTCGTCTTCGGCAACGGTGGTGCCGCCGCTCTCAGCGGCGACTATCACCAAAAGGATAGTGGAGGCTCCTCGAATGGCCAAGGACGCCTCGATCCCCTCTCTACAGGAGTTCTCCTCCGGAAGGCAGGGCGAGAAGTTGGACAGGCTGGAGGGCCTCGTCCGGGGTCTCGCTGTCTACGTCAAGGAGAAGAGGAAACCTGCTATCCAGCTGCAGAGATTTTTCTCCTGCCTCACCCGGGCCTTCGAGGCTTTGAAGAGGACCACGGAGTGCACCGAGGTACACCCCTCACAGGAGGCCGTGATGGCTGCCTCCACTCCTTCCTCGAAGAGAAACAAGCGACCCGCAGCATCGCCACCAGAGGTCACTGCTGCGGAGAAGCGCGCCACTGGAACCCACACGAACAGGTCGTCGACGGCAACAACAACGCCGTACGCAGCGAGGAGACCTTCACGGTTGTGAAAGGTCGACGTGGCCGGCGCCATGACGCTGCTCAGGCTAAGGAGGTCGAACGTGGCTCTCAGACCCCGAGGCCGCGGCAGCGCAGAGTCCGCCTGAGGCCTGACGCCATAGTCGTCAAGGCTGCCGGGACAACGACGTATGCCGACATCCTACGAAGGCTCTACGCGGAGTCAGCAATCCAGGAGACAGTGGGCAAAGCTGTGCAAAGCATCAGACGCAGCACATCCGGCGCCATGGTGCTGCAGCTAAAAAAGGGTGTACAAAATGCGTCTGCCCTGGGCACGGAGCTCGATGGCATCCTAGGAGATGACCACTGCTAGCGCCCTCAGCCACAAGACCGCGCTCGAGATCAGGGATCTCGACGAGTGCGCCACCAGGGAGGAGATCTGCGCTGCACTCAGTCACCAGCTTGGCGTAGCCAAACTGAATCCAGACGTCGTGAGATCCCTGCGGAAGGCATACGCCGGCACGCAGACCGCCGTCATCGACCTACCCGACGAGCTTGCGGCCAAGGCGATCAGGCTTGGTCACTTGAGAGTTGGTTGGGTCAGCTGTCGTGTGCGCGAGCGCGCTGAGGCCTCGCGCTGTTTCCGTTGTTGGGAGTTCGACCACGTCGCTGCGCGCTGTACAGGTCCCGACCGTTCGAAGCTCTGCTATCGATGTGGACAGGACGGTCACCGAGCCAAGACGTGCAGAAGCGCACCGGTGTGCCTGCTCTGCCACGGTCCGGATGCCAGCGGTCACGCCACTATCAGCCCCAGCTGCCCTTTGGCCAAGAAGTTTCTCAGCAGCCGACGATGAGGATACTACAACTTAACCTCAACCACTGCAGGTCGGCCCAAAACCTCTTGTGTCAGACTGTGCGAGAGCTAGGCATCAACGTGGCCATCGTGTGTGACCAATACAAAAACCCTTGTCCACACTACACGTGGATAGCCGACTCCAACAAGCAAGCTGCCATCTGGGTCCTCGGAGGCCTGCGGGTGCAGGGCCGCCCATCGAGACCCCACCCCTTCTTCACGTGGGCCCGAGTCAGCGATGTATACATTTTTAGTGTATACACCCCTCCAAGGCTCTCTACTGCAGAGTTTTCTGCTCTGCTGGCCAACGTAGTCGAGGAGGCCCAGGGCAAGAGGCCCCTCATCATAGCAGGCGATTTCAATGCCTGGTCGATGGAGTGGGGCAGCAGTGAGACGAAACCTTGCGGCGTCACTCTTCACGCGCTCTCTGCTCTAGACGTCGTGCTGCTGAACACCGGACGCACGCCGACATTCACCGCACGCTGGATGAGGAGACCTTCTCCGAGCGGCTGTCCGGTGTGAGGATCCCGCACACGACCCCTGAGCACCCGGAGGACATGGCGCCTTCTCTCATCTCCGCCATCACCGGAGCCTGCAGCGCGTCGATGTCGAGCAGAGGGGGCCAGCACCGTCACCGTCATGAGCCCGTCTACTGGTGGACGGAGAAGATCGCCACTCTCCGCTGGCAGTGTCTGCGAGCAAGAAGACTCGCTCAAAGAGCGTGGGGACGGGCCATGGAGGACGCTCATCGCGCTGATTTTGCCGTCGCGAGAGACCGACTGCGCGCTGCCATCGAGGACAGCAAGCGACGCTGCTGGAGTGCCCTCTGCGACGAGGTCGACCGGGACGTGTGGGGCCGCCCATACGGAACGGTCATGGCGCGTCTGAGGGGTCCCAGGGCGACACCCTCGCGAGAGCCATCACTGGTGCGACGGACGGTCGCGGCGCTGTTCCCGACGGTGACTAAGGCGCTGATCCGGCCTCCTGCGGGACCGGTAGGAGCCGTTGCCCCTGGCGTCATCCTTGATGAGCTTCGAGGAGCCTGCGTCAGGATTCGGCATGGTGCAGCACCCGGACCAGATGGTGTGCCAAATAGGGCCCTCAAGCTCGCCGTCGCGCGGCGCCCGGATGCCTTCTTGCAGGTGTACTCGGCGTGCCTGAGCGGTGGTGTCTTCCCGAGCCCATGGAAGAGGCAAAAGCTCGTACTGCTGCCGAAGCCGGGCAAGCCGCCTGATGCTCCTTCATTGTACCGCCCACTGTGTATGCTCGACACGGCGGGCTAGATCCTCGAGAGCATCATATGCAGACGCCTGGAGGTATACACGGAGGCCCCGGGCGGCCTCTCAGACCACCATGGATTCCGGAGGGGAAGGTCGACCATCGGCGCCATTGAGTCCGTCACCGCTGCGGCCCGTGAGGTGGTTGGAGCCGCGAGGGGCAGCCGCAAGTACTGCGCCGTCGTCACCCTCGATGTCCGGAACGCGTTCAACTCGGTGCAGTGGAACAATATCCTCGCCGCGTTCGAGCGAATCCGCACGCCTGAGTACCTGCAGAGGATCATTTATA